TTTCAAATGGATTAGTTGAACCTCATTAAATCCCTGTGTGGACGCTCTTATTCAGAATTAAAGTGAATCTTAATCCATTTTGGAAGCGAATTAAGCTAATCTGAAGTAATTGAAATGAGAGGAAGGTGAGAGACAAGGTTTGGACCAACTCCTGTAGAAGAGCTCTGTGTGGTTTTAAAGCGTGTCTCTTTCACCAACAGAAGTTGGTCCAATAAACAATATCCCCTCCCCCACCTGGTCTCGCTAACATCCTGGGACCCCCACGGCTACAACCCTGCAAATGATGAAACAAATATCTCATTCCACCCCTATATTTTATACCATGATCAACTTGCCTGTTGCATTATTTCCCATGTATTTGTTGTTAACGTTTTCCTGAAGACTTAAGAGGAAAAACCAACAACCTCATTTTGGAAAAAAATCCCACGCTTTTAAATACTGTTTGCCCAGTACTGTCGACCCTGACATGACAATCACTACAGGGGGAGTTTTTAAAAACCAATGTAGCAAATGCAGAAATATAATTTTAATGACGAATTGATAGCACAATGTTTCATTGTCCCTGGCGTTCCATTTTGGAGCTAAGAAATATTAATATAAATATTTCTGTACTCAATTGGCGTCTCGTATTAGTAACCAGTAACAACCTAATGCCCTGGCTAGAGTTGTACATAAAATGTCTCCCTATTCACATAACAAGAGTGTCAGGCAGCTACCAGATGAGGGGCTTGATTTGAGATCCAAACATTTTAAAATGTACATCTCAAAAGGAGTTTATACCATTTTAAGCATTTGATGGTCTGGGCATTAGTTCATAGCTCTGATCCTACATCTTGAGCTCAGGGCTGGATTAACCTTGGGTGGGCGTGGTGCCCTGTCCGTGGCTCCGCCTCCTGCTCCACCCACATTCTGCCCCGAGGCCACGCCCCCACTCGGCCTCTTCCCCCTGAGGCCCTGCCCACCGCTCGCACAAGTGGGAGGGGGCGCAGAGGAGCAGTGGCAGGTGGGGCCTCAGGAGGAAGAGGCCAAATGGGTGCAGGGCCTCGGGGTGGAGTGTGGGTGGAACAGGATGGAGGGCCACAGTCTGGGTGCCGGGGCCCCTTCTGAGTATGGGCCTGGCGCCATTGTAAACCCGGTACTGCTAGAGCGTCACTCTTCTTTGGAATATCCCAAATAAAGGTAACCTCAAAATCCTGTCTACACTCAACTGGTGTCTTCTTTAAGAAAATTCTCTTGTTGGTTGTTGGCCTTGTGACCAAATGGTCCCTAGAGTTACAACTAGGGTGACCAGATGTCTCAATTTTATAGGGACAGTCCTGATTTTGGGGTCTTTTTCTTATATAGGCTCCTATTACCCCCCACCCCATTTGCTGTCTGGTCACCCTAGTTACAACCTACCATGCGCTGTACATTTACAATGTGCAATTGGAGACCCCTCTCAAATATTCTATCCAAAGCATGAATCACAATCACTGTCACATATAGACATCTTTCAAAACATAGCCTCAAAGAAAACAGTATGGAAGGTTAAAACAAAAGAGAAGTTACAAAGATGGTGGAATTGATTATGGGATGAAGAAAATTGCATGTCTGGAACTTGACCCCTAAACTCCTAGAAATCCGTTGGCGAGTCATTTCTATCCCCCAACACATTGCGAAAACTTCCCAGCAGGCACTGCACCGGACCATAGGC